AGAACTTGCACCTCTGGTTCTGATACAGAATAAGTGAATGAATGGCTGAGCAAATGCACAGGTGTTTTAAAAGTCTGAACTGCTCAGACAACCAATTTTGGCAATGGCTTTATGTACCCGCTGCCTCTAAAATCAAAGGGCTGATTGATGTCATGCATTAATTTTTTTATCTTCTGTGTCAATATACATCTTTGCTATGAGCACATACTGAGAGAAACTTGATCCCAATAGTATGACCTTGAAACTCAGAGAAAGGGGCAAACTTTATTACAATTAATACAAATGAATTATTAGCACTGTAGCACTGTCCTCCCACTGTTCATGGATTTGCTCAAGCGGGCATCAGTAACCTCTCCATTGTGAGACTTGCTGTTACTGTTTTTGGCATATTGGATATGCCACGGGGAACTTGCCAGGCTCTGCCATGCAGGTGGGATACTCTCAGTAGCTTGCCGGGCTCTCTGAGAGGGATGGAGGAATCAAACCCAGGTCAGCCATGTGCAATACAAACACCCTACCTTCTGTGCTATTGCTCCAGCAATAATAAATTAATTATTATAAATGAAATAAATAAATGATAATAAATGAATAAAATGAATTATTAATAAAATTTTATTACTATTAATATCTTCCCTTAGTATTTACTGATCAACACAAATCATAACATAAATAGTCCTGGATCACCACATATGAGTAGAAGTTTTCTACAGTCAATAAAAATGTGCTTCTTACAAAGAGGATGTTACCTGTCCCCCCTAGGAATGACTAGAAAATGACTGTTACCAATTCTATCTAGAAGACCAAGGAAAAACAAGCTTTATACCTGACAGTCCAATGTTTACAAATCAAAAATGCATACAGTCTCAGGAGTCTGACCACTGCTGCTTTCTCTGAAATGCTCTTTCGGAGAAAGGTGGATGTCCATGGGGCCATGACTCAACCAAGCTGCTGAGAAATTCAAATATTTAACTGCCAGCCTATTCTGTCAGAGCATTCCTTTGACTTACCTTAGCACTGTGGTGCCAACACATATGTGTAGCATGTGGGAGAAATCCTGTGTCCTGAGAACCAAGGACACGGGCCTTAGGGCTGGCGTGGTAAGCACACTCAGTATAACTTGGATTAACACCCACAAGGTCCTTATTTGTGGGACACTTTCCTAAGTTCCCACATGCTCTCTTTCCACAGGTGACCAGAACTAGGCTCTGAGCACCCAGTCTGCCCCATGTAGCCCTGTTCCCTGGAAAAACATTCCACAAATGTTGACTCACTAATTTACTCTAATGAAAAAGCTGTAGGCAGTCTCAAGTCTGAGTAAGCGTGAATGTTAGAGAGGTCCCTCTAGACTGAGAACGCATTTTTCAATGTTCTGTCTGGAATACGAATATAAATAGAGCATTCAAGATGCTTTTGTGAGGCTACTTCAGAGATCAAATGTTTGTGATGATCCAAAATAAAGGTTTCTGCGTTAAAATGACTCTGAAGATTTCCTCTCAAGAACACAGTTCTTCTAGTGAGGATGGAGTAAGATGTTAGATTTGCCCTTCCGATGGGAACAACTAAAATGGCTCGGAAAGAAAAAAATGAAATGATGGTGTCAGAGACATTATGTATCAGTCAACAAAGGATCTAGATAAGCTTTGTGCCAGGGGCTTAGACAAATACTACTTAGACATGAATAATATAAAAAAGCATGCTTCATAAAAGAAAAAACGTCAAATTGACTACTGTAAAATTGAAAACTGCTCTTCAGAAGATATTGTCAAGAGATTGAGAAGACATGCCAGAAGTTAAGAGAAAATATTTGCCAATCACAGAGCTCATAAAGGATTTGAAATGAGAATATATGAGGAACCCTCAAAACTCAACACTCAGAAAACAAACAGTCCATTTTTTTTTTTAAATGAGCAAACGGGGCTGGAGAGACTGAGTGCATGCCTTGCACGTGGCCGACCTGGGTTTGGTCCCCAGCATTCCATATGGTCCTCCTGGAGTACTGCCAGGAGTAATTCCTGAGTACAGAGCCAAGAATAAGCCCTGAGCACAGCCATGTGTGGCCCCCAAACCAAAAAATCTAAAATAAATGAGCAAACTGATTGATTAGACACTTTGGTCAAGAGGCCATTAAAATGGTGACTCATGCGCACAACAGGATCCTTAATCATGATGAACTGTGATAAAAACCCGAGTGAGATGCTGCCCTAGAGCTCTCAGAATCGGGAGATCGAGGCTGTGCCACATTTCGCGCTTCCAAACACTTCAAGAACACGTACAAGCATGCAGTGACTTTGGAAAGGAAAACAGTTCCTCGGTCATACAAAACACAAACACACCCTTCCTGTCCCTCAGGCATTTTACTCCTCCAGATTTCCCCCCACGAGAGAGCAAAGTCCACATGAAGAGGTGTGTACAAATGCTCAGTGCAGCTCAACGGGACACAGTCCCTGGTCTGGAAACAACCCAAATGTCCATCAAGAGTTGCCAGGACTACCAGGTTGGTCAATATCTGCACACTCAAATGCTACTCGGCAATGGAGACTAAGCTGCTAATATAACACCAGTGCACGGATTAGCCTCCGCATCCCTGGGTAAGTCTAAATCAGGCATCCGAGCGGACCTCTGCAGGATTCCATTTACATGAGGCTCTGGAATACAGCAACCAACCTTCAGTGCCAAAAAGCACAGAGAACTGAGTGGAGAGCAGGAAGCAGTGGGATAGGTTAAAAACATGCTTCAAGAGGACCCTGGGGTGCTCTCACCACAGAGCTCTCAGAATGGGGAGACCGGCAAAAGTTTCTGGAGGCTGCTATTCTGTGCTGAAAGCATCATGGATATACACATGGGCCAGATCTTTCAAGTTGTATGTTTCTAGTATGATCACTATGTTTTGTTTTTCCAGTTGTGCCTTGATAAAAGAAATTACTACAAAGACCATGATTTGCCTTGGGGGACTGTGCACGCAATCAATATTTTTAATAAAGCCACTTGGCAACGATTTCTTCAGTTCTTCTCTTGTGCCCTGGACTGTGCTGTGGCTAAAAACTGAGGAAAGGTGGTTTGACTATAGGTGTGGCCCAGGCAGATTTTACCACACTTCCCGCCCCTCCCCCACAAGGAATAAAGATTTGCAAAGACTGAGGAAGAACATCTTTTTTTTAACTTGTCATCATGCTCAAGATGTGCAAATTGCTTCAAAACAGATCCTCTATTGTCATGTTTCGTGCTGACAACTATAGTATCGTTTTAATCCAGCACTTGGGTCTGACCATGAATCTGAATGAATGAGTGAATTCATCAAGAACGAGAAGATAGTTCAAATGAGTGCCTGGCATGTGCCCACGAATTCAATTCCTTGTACCACATGGTCCCTCAGACATTGCTGGTGGAGCCCTGGAGGTTCCCCTAAACACTGCTTGAGGGTCTCCGACACCGCTACACTGAGCAGAACCACATCATGGGCCTTTGTGCTGAGCAGCCAGCCAGGTGGGCTGAGAATTGCTGGAGGGGTCCTTAGTTCTCCAAGCCATAAAGGGGAAAGAAGCAAGAATTCCCTACCCTGAGCTCTGCTGAGGATTTTTTGTCTGTTTGTGGGCCAGACCCAGCCATGCTCAGGGATTATTCCTGGCTTTGCACTCAGAAACAGCTCCTGGAGATGCTCAGGGGACCATATGTGACGCCAGGGACTGGCCCATGCAAGGGAAATGCTCTTCCCACTGTACTATCTCTCCAGCCCCTCAGAAGGACTTTTGACAAGATTGACAACCCAAAGCAACTCTGCTCTTTGCTCTCATTATGATGATCCCAGTTCCATGTCCCAGGGCATGGTGTGGGGAATATTTTATGTTGTGATCTCCAAAGTCTTGTTTATCTTGATCTCTAATTCCTACCATTTCTGATTAATCCACACTTGAAAAGCAGTCCCTGCATCTACCTTGTGGGGATTTCTCTTGAGCATGCAAAATGTTCAAAGGAAGAAGCAGTCAGGGGGTACGTGCCCTGGATCTTGTAAAATACTACAAAGTGACATTCTTTCATCAACCCATCCCTAGAGAGATAACATTCCATGGGCATAAACAAATTGCTAAAGGATGAACCATTATTTCTATTGCAAGACTATAACCATCATAAGTCTTCAAGCCTGTCAATGCTGTCATTAATGACAGAAAAATAACCGAGACAGAATTTCTTATGCAAATCATCTAGGTTGAATGGGGTTAATCCAGTTTCCAAAAGGAAGATTCAAAACTGCCCAACTCTGAAAAAAAAAATGAAGTGGTCATGACCCTGAACAACTTTCTCTGAGCTGAGAATGGAGAAAGCGCTTGCAACGTGAAACAAGAAGCACGTTTGAAATGATGAAACAAAGCGTTATCCAGATCTATCATTTTTGTCAACTGCTAACAACCCCCTGTGTATCCGAGAAAGCTCTTAATTTACTCTCACTCTAGACACAAATCAAGAGAGAGGACCCGGATGGAAAATAAAGAATGCAGGACCCAGCATTGGCAAAGACTGAGATGATCCCAGCTTCCCCTGGACCACAGTTAACGTTTGGGCAAGGTTGGGTTATCAGCTGAAGAGTTGTCAGCGATGGAACACCACTTCTGAAAAGCTAAAGGAAGCATTTCTGCTAACCAAACATTTCCAAAACTGCAGACAGGAGAAACTTGATCAGGTCCACATGGCTAGCGGATCTGGAGACCTCACCTCTCTGTGATGGAGTGCGACGCCCCACCCTGCTCAATGAAGGCAGGAGCCATGCCTTTCAGCTTAACAGGTTGACACCAGTGAATTAGGCCACATCCCAGTGTGAGCCACCGGTGGTACACGATCCCATCAAAGGGCTGTGAAGATATTTCCTGCTTCATTAGCTCTTCGCTTGTTGGACAATCTCTCCCTATTCTCTCCAGAGCCCCAGGAACTCTTTCTCAATTCACCTGTTGCCCTGGGTCAATGGTGTATACCTGTTGAGTGACCAGGCACCCACGGGTTCTACTTACATCATGCATGGAGTCCAGAAGCTTGGTCAATTGATAGAACCGCTGCCAGCTTTGCCCAGAATTGTTGGGGCACTTTGTCACCACCTTCCTCAGCTCTTTGATGTAATTTGTCCTCATTTCTTCAAACACACTCTGGCATTTGAGGCCATCCTTTGGAACTGCGTTAAAGGAAACACATGTAAATGCCCAGCATGCTGAAAAACAGTTTTAGCATCTTAGCTGTGAAAGACCTCGAGTGTTGTGAGGCTTTAGGCTCAAATCATATCAATACCAACTCTCAACTAATTAATAAGTAGATGTGGCAGTTACAGAATGGTAAACTCTTTTTAAAAAAATTTAAAAATTTTTTTATAAAGTTGTTTATTTATAAAAATGGTTTCTCACATTCAATATTCCAACACCAATCATTGCCTAATGATAAATTCTTATATGCACACATAGAGAAATAATAGCACTGACAGTGATGAGGGCTTACTCCTGGCTCGGTGCTCAGTGATCACTGCTGGCTGGGTTTGGGAGACCATTACAGAACCAAGGATTGAACCCGGGTTAGCCATGTGCAAGGCAAGTTACCGTCCCTAGTGTACTATCTCTAGGCTCCAATAATAGAACTTTTATTTTGTGGGTTTTATTTGCATGGCAAAGCCTGGCAAGCTCCTCGTGGCATATTTGATATGCCAAAACAGTAACAAGTCTCACAATGGAGACATTACTGGTGCCCGCTCGAGCAAATCGATGAACAATGGGAGGACAGTGCTACAGTGCTACTTGCATGGCATACAAGCAGTTTGGGCTGGAGTGATAGCACAGTGGGTAGGGCATTTGCCTTGCATGCGGCCAACCCGGGTTTGATTCCTCTGTCCCTCTCGGAGAGCCTGGCAAGCTACCAAGAGTATCTCGCCCACACAGCAAAGCCTGGCAAACTCCCTGCGACGTATTCAATATGCCAAAAACAGTAACAAGTCTCACAATATGTTGTGAGACGTTACTGGTGCCCACTGGAGCAAATCTATGGACAATGGAGGGAGGACAGTGCTACAGTGCTACCAGCAGTTTGCAGAGGGTACAGCTGACTTAATCTTGACATCAAACTTCAAACACGAATGTTCTACTGTTCTCATTTAAAGTAGAGGAAACTGTGAGGGCAGAGGGTTTAAACCCTGGCCCAAGCACACAGAGAGTAGCCTGGGACGGCCATCAACCCAGGGCTGTCTCCAAGGTCTGCCTCTTCGCTGCAAATGCCACCTTCCCTTGCAGCCTGTCATCAAAGTGTTTTCTGAACGCTAACTTGTCAATACCTCAGAAGTAGGAAAATCAACTTTGATTTTCCAGGACAACTGGCAGAGCCACCACCTAAGCTGGGGCTAGAATTAGAACGCCACATCTTCAAATTCAAGTTCAAATATCAAAGACACTTGGAAACTGGCCGTCTACCAAAGGGAGGATGTGCACGCAAAGAAGCACTTTCCACCCTCTCTGTTCCCCAGACACGTGACCTCCCGCACAGCCTGGGGTGGAGCTGACGCTGGTCTTTATCCGAGATGGGGAACGGCAGCTGAGGGACAATTAAGGTGCCATTTCCAGGCAGGCAGAAATCGTAGGCTTTTGCTTTCTTCTTTTATGGAGAGGCTCCTTTAACCTAATGAAACCCAAAAATATACCCCTGGGACTCAGGATTTGGGGCAAATCAAGTGCTTCTCTGTCCTGCTAGGAAGTATGTCTTTCCCCCAAGACACAGGGCCATCAGTTACTGCCTTCTAGAAGGGGAGACATGTCCAATGTCCCCCCCTCTGGACAGCTACCTACCTATGGCTTTAATTTTGGGGGACAGCTGCCACATAACTTTTTGAGAAATAATATCACTCCGAACTCTTATTTTTTTGAGTGATATATATTTTATTAAAGTTGATAATCTATACCCTTTCTAGTGGTAGGCAATGAAGGGTAGGGCAGGCTATAAAGGGAGAGATGAATTATTATTTTGGGGGGGATTTTTAAAAAAAATTTTTAAGGTATTAATGATATAGCATTCTTTTTAAAAAAATTTTTTTATTAGTGAAACACCATGAGGTACAGTTGTAGACTTCCAAATTTTTGTGCTTGGGTTTCAGTTATACAATGATCGAACATGCATCCCTCCACCAGTGCCCATTCTCCACCACCCCGAACTCTATTTTTAGGAGACAAAGAGTGGAGGAGAATTCATCAGGCAATTATTAACTCTTGGAGTTTGAAAGGGCTTTCCCATGCATTTGTCACATGACTGGCTAATTGATCATAACTGGTAGAAATCATCCTTTGCGTGGTCAGAGGTACCACTGAAAGGTGGCATGCTTTTCTACGTGGGTCAGTGTGTAACAGTTTTCGAATAAACCCTGCTAGCCTGCAGAGAGCTATGGGGATTAGCTCGCCCACCGACTTCAAGTATTCTGTTTGCAATCTCCTCTTGGAGTTGAACTGCTGAGGCCTTTTCCTCTGCGGTTTATCTACATCTATCTTTGTGTGTGTGTGTGGGGGGGGGGGGCGGGGGGATAAATTCCTCCCAGCAACAACCTTGCCACCACAATATTCACTGTGGTTTCATGTTCAGTGTTTGACATTCAGATGAGTTAAAAGCCATCCATTATATGCTCCTCTGTCCCTTTAAAACTAAAACCTCCTCATTTTAAAGGTCTGTGAAACAGACACCAGGCTGGTAATAACCTGGATGTTACCAGTGGAACGAAGTTACCTTCCTGTGCAGTTTTTTTTTTTTAATTTTTATTAGTGAGACACCATGAGGTACCGTGTTGTAGACTTACAAATTTTTGTGCTTGGGTTTCAATTATACAATGATCAAACACCCATCCCTCCACCAGTGCCCATTTCCCACCACCATGGATCCCAGTATCCCTCCCACCCCCCATTACCCCCTGCCTCTGTGGCAGGGTATTCCCTTTTGTTCTCTCTCTCCTTTTGGGTATTGTAATGTTCGCTTCAAACCAACTTCTAGAAAGAAACAGAAAGTTCACCAGCTCTGCTGCCCTTCACAGATTCAGAGGAAGAGAAACGCTCCCCACCTCCCCATTGCAGTCAATCATTTATTATGAAACAAATTTCAATCTTCAAATAAAACCACGACTCTCCACCAGACTTACCTAAAAACCAACAAAGAATTTTATAAAATGTCACACAGCCAACAATCTTATTTTTCATAGGGGCACCTAGGGGTATCACCCTATCTCTGAAAGTGACCTAAGACAGGGTGAAAACTTTCACTCCCATATTCCGGTCCTGGTTGGTACCTGTCCCCAGATTAACCAAGGACCTTCCTCCATCTAACTGTCATGTTCTCAGGCCTGTGGACCCGTGGCCAGTGTCCCCGGTGGGCTCCCACTGTGACTGCAATGGAGTGCACCAATTTCCCAGCCTGAAACAAACTCACAAATAAAGAGAACTTAAGCAAAACCTCAGTTTTTGGAGGTGTGCCCAGATTTTCTGATTTACTTATTAAATGCAGCAGGGTGGCTGGAAACTGCCCAAAGTCTCAGGGCTGGAGAAGAGCAAAGGGGCGGATGGGGTGGGCGCACATCTGCTTTCCTCTGTAAGCAGATGGCACATGAGGTCCTCTTGATGTCACCCCTCAAGCCTGGCCCCGGGCCCCAGCCATCAGGTGTGCAACTGAACGTTCCAAACAAGAAGAAAAATGTTCATGCATCCGTCAGAGATGAGCCAAATAAGCTTATTCCTAAAGCCTGCAGCTTTTATGATTCATGAACCGTTCATGTTTTCCTGCCCTTTTCAATTGGCTTTTCTTGCTTCTACACAAATCAGAATTTGAAAGTACGGAGCTAAGGAGAAGCGTGATGCGTTCATTCAGGTCGCCTGAGCTGATAGCTGAATTGATGCGGGTGAGCTCCATGACTGTGTGTGTGGGGCAAAGGATAATATGCAAATTAAGATGAAGTCATGAACGTTTATCACAAATGAGTGCCACGTTATCTTTTTTTTAGGGGGAAAGGTTTCCCAATGTGATTAGGTCACTGGAAAGCTTTTCTTTTGGTTTGGTTTTGCTTTGGGGCCACACCCAGCAGTGCTCAGGGCTTACTCGTGGCTCTGTGCTCAAGACTTACTCCTGGCTCTGCACTCAGGGATCACCCCTAACAGGCTCAGGGGATCACAGGTGGTGCTAGGGATTGAGCCCAGGTCACTCAGTGCAAGGCAAGTACTCTACCTGTTTTCCTATCGCTCTGGCTCTGGAAAGCATTTAAAATATTTCTGCCTCCAGGGTTGGAGTTATAGCACAGTGGGTAGGGCATTTACCTTGCATGCAACCTACCCGGGTTCAATTCCCAGGACCCCATATGGTCCCCCGAGCACCACCAGGAGTAATTCCTGAGTGCATAAACCAAGAGTAACACCTGTGCATCACCGGGTGTGACCAAAAAGCCCCCCCAAAATAAAATAAAATAAAATATTTCTGCCTCCCCCAGGACTACAGTGAAAGACAGTGGATAGAGTGATTACCTTGCTCACAGCCAACCAGTATTGAATCCCCAGAACCTTGACCCGTAGGGTGCCCTGAGAATCGCCAGGAGTGATCTCAGGGCCTTGAGCCAGGACTAAGTCCTGAGCACTGCTGAGTTTGGGTGTGGCCCCCAAACCAAGAGGAAAACAACACAGCGACCACAACTATTTTCCTAACCAACCAGTAACATCACTTGGGAAGGGAAATAAAATCAGCCCGTTCCCGACTTAAGACTCCAACCAGGATGAACAGGAACTCAGAGCCTGGAAAAGAGCCAGTTCTGGGGACCCAATGGCTGGCACCCCAAGGGATAAGCGTGAGTGTGGGGAGCCATGGCGAGTGGGGCTGTGAGAAACAGTGGGGTGGCAGCCCCCAACTCCCTGCAACAAAATTCATGAAAATAAAACAAAAGGCCAAAAGCCTGGTCCGTTAGACCAAACACAGATGGGAGGGCTTCTGGCCCAGACACCCCTGTCCAGGGGCGCCCCAGCTTGGCCCTGACGCCCCAAGTCCTTGCAGAAATGACAGTATTGCCTTGCACGAAGCTGACAGACGTTTGATCCCTGGCATCCCGTATGGTCCCTCCAGCCTGTCAAAGTAATTCCTGAGCTCAGAGCCGAAGTAAGCCCTGATCTTCACCGGATGTGCCTCCCTTGTCCTCACTGCCCCCCCTCTCCACCATCACCAAAAGAGAAACTTTAAAGTCCTGGGTCAGCTATTGAGTGAGGGGATACTTAGCAAACCCCCAAACCCATTGAACTTCCTTTTGAAAAATGGGAACCCCCAGCCCTAAGGTGGGTGTCCACATTAAATTAGGCCCCGCATGGAAACCCCTCGTGAGCTGTGGCTGTTGAGACAAAGGGGTCCCCTTCTCCCTGCCCTGCCCCTGGCCAATCCCGGGCATGCTCTCCCCCTCTGGGCACCTCTCTGGGCCTCTGTCTGGCAGTCACCCACTCACCAGGCTTCCCCTGTGGCCCAGAGGCTGTCTCTGCCCTGTTTGCCTTCTCAGCCTCCTCTGGTCCAGCTGCCTCAAATGCCTCCACTTTGCTCTCAGCTCTTCGTGCTGGGGTTTGGGAGGACCAAAGTGAATCCCGAATCCTGTTCTCCAGTTTCTTCTGGCACGGGGGTGAGTGTTTCTCCTCCTTTCCCTCGCCAGGGGTCCCCTTCTGACTCAGTTTCCTTCCTGTTCCCCACACCCATCCCTGTCTTGCCAAGCCTCCCCCAACCCCATGTATGCAATTTTCACCTTGGAATATTCTGGGAGGGAAGGGTTCATGGGGAGTGTATGTGGGGGGCATATAGCTTCCAGATGAGAATTGCGGCCCTGTCGTGCGTGTTTCTCCTCTCACACACGGATCTGGAAGCCTAGAAGCTTCCCATGATGCTAAAGACCCGCTGGACTCTCGACTGAGGCCCTGTGGTCAGCCCTGGAAGGCTTCCCTTGAGTCATCAAGAGAGAAATAGCCCTTTAAAGAGTCCATGTGATTCCCATGAGGGACTCCCCACCATGGCCCATCCCCAGCCCAATGCTTCCAGGCTGGCGTCGTGACCTCTCCTTTCCTTTCTGCTTCCGGGTTGCCCCACTCGAACTCAGTCTTCAGTTTTCTGAGGCTGCTGGGGTTCCACTGCTCACTGCCTGCACTCCTGCCCTCCACTGGGACACATCTGGAGGTGAGCCGGATCCAAAGGGCTCTTGAGGCGCACTCCTCACCCAGTGTTCCCAGCCCAGCATCTTATCCTCCCAGTGGTGTCACTCCTCTCCCTCATCGCTCTGCTCAGAATCTGCTTCTCTTGTGGCCTAGGCATGGGAGTTCCCTTCTCCTGGGGAGCAAGGCCAACTCGGCGGGGTTTCCCTGAATCCCTTTGTTCCTGCCGATTTTTCCAGCAACCTTCTAATCCAGAATACGGGCCCGTGGATCACAGGAAGTTGGTGGGATTTCTCTTTGGGTGTCTTCCTCTGTTTCCCGCTTGATCTAGTCTACTGCTAGATAAATCTCCACAGGCCCAGCCCTGGGCGCTCCACAGTCCCCTAGGGGCCAGCTGTCCTCAGCAGGCAATAAGGCAATAAGGAACATATCGATCCTGTTTACATCCTAATCTTCTTCCCACTCCTCCCTGACCCAAGAAAACATGATGCACTTTGAAAAATTAAATGAACATATAAAGAAAATACATATAAAGTAATTTAGGGGCTGGAGAAAAACTCCTAGGGGTAAGGTGCTTGCCTTGTGGCTGATCCCAGTTCAAATCCACATATGGTTCCCCCAGGCACTGCCAGTGGTCACTCCTGGGCACAGAGCCAGGAATAGGCCTCACGGACAGCAGGGGGTGGCCTCGAGACTAAAAGAAAAGATGAAGAAACTAAAGAGGAGGTCACCAACTCTGCTAGAATGACGTGTGATGGCTGGATGGCCACTTGCCCCCTCTTGCTCATACCATGCTCACCGACAGGAACCCCCGATTTCCAACCCTCAATCAAGACTTGGTTTCCCCAAAGTCCTTCTCTAGCCGCACACCTGAGTACACTTTCCTCTCCTGTGCCACCAGACACGCCCTCTATCCCTGGTAGGGAATCTAACCACATAGCACAACATCTGGGTGCTGATGTAACAGAGGAATTCCCCAAACCACATTTCTCTCACTTGCCTTTTGTAGAGATCAGATTTGAGGTCTACAAAAGTGACAGAATAAATGTCCCCGTGGGGCAGAGACTGTGTCCCATTCACCCCTACAGTCCCTGGCTGGACCAGCTCTGACCACACACACACAATGGACACTTTATGAATTATTGGGACTGGATGGATGAAGGCTTGGAGGGAGATGCCATCATGAACCCAAACTCTGTCAGACTCGGAAAGAAACTTACCTCACCAAGCACCTAAGACCTCTACCCACCTGCTTCGTTTTTGAAAATGACAATTCGCCATCACTAGAAAACAGGACAACAGCAAAAAGAGGAAACCCAAAGGGCCGAGGGCCCGCACTCACTTGTGCTTAGCAGCAGCAGGACTTTCATCACGGTGTACTCCTCAAAGGTGAGCTGCAGGCGGACGAACTGAAGGCTGATTTGGTGCATCCCCTGGCAGAGTTCATACATGGCCGACTGATGCATCTTCTCCCTGATGAGAGAAAGAAAACGGTGGCTGAGACGGGCCAGGCTCAAGACCCATCCCAGCTGGGCAGCCGGTGGCGCCCTACTCAGGGACCCAAGTCAGGGTTTTGTTTTCTGGCTCCAGCCCAGAGCAGATGTGTGTTCTGGAGATGAGTTAGCGGTCTTGCACTGGGACTGGGTAACAGCTCTTAGGCCAATGGACAGGGCAGGGACAATGACTTGGAAGGAAAGAGGCTGAAGGCTTCCCCACCTTCCCAGTTAATTGTTTTTTAAACTTTTTACTTTATTATTATAATTATTTAAATGTTTTTAAAAAGTATTTATTTATTTTTAATTTTTTTATTATTGAATCACTGTGAGATACAGTTTCAAGCATTCATGTTTGAGTTTCAATCATACAATGATCAAATACCCATCCTTCCACCAGTGCACATTCTCCAACACCAATGTCCCCAGTATCTCCCCTTTCCAACCCTCCCCCTGCCCCCATGGCAGACAATTTCCCCTATACTCTCTCTTTACTTTTGGGCATTATGGTCTGCAATATAGATACTGAGAGGCTATCATGTTTGGTCCTTTATCTACTTTCAGCACACATCTCCCATCCTGACTGATCCCTCCAACCATCACTGACACTCATCTGTGGAATACAAAATAATGTAATATGAGATGGATACCCAGTGAAAGTAGGCACAAGGGCCAGGAATATTGCCCCATAGTTGGAAGCCTGTCTCATGAGCTAGGGGAGAACGCAGCTGGAATAAAGAAGGGATCACTTTATTATTATTATTTTTATATAGCTTAGGTGACAGGGTTCCAAGAGAATCCATGTTTCCTGTACTGATGTACAAAAATAAGGCTCTCCAAAGTGCCTGTGACCAGGGGCCAGGAACAACTTTGTAACTGTGTTTCTCATGGTGATTCAATTTAAAAAAAAAATAAGAAAAATCAAACAAAATAGCAACAAAAACATCCCAAAGTGCCCACGACTCTCTCTCCATCCCTATGTCCATTCTGGGCCAATGTTCCATCAAGCTTTTCCCAAGCGTGTGTCACTCAGGATATCAGTCATTCCAGCTGCAGAGAGATTAGTCCCACAGCAAGGCTGCCCCTCCATTCCCCCTCAGCCGTAGACCCCAGGCCCTCCTTGCAAACCCAGGCTGACCTCCGCCAGTCTGATTTCCACATGGCAAAGATCTATCTGTAGCTGTGACTTGGGGAAGATAAGTGTGACAAAGATCTCAAAGGGGAGAAGACCTCGTGGAACAGGTCTCTGACAAAGACAGTGGTAGCAAGGCCCATTATGGACACGTTTCCACTTAAGTACCAACCATCCCTCTCCCTCTGCCAAACCCAAAAGTGGCCAGCAAGATCTACTTAGGGTGCTAGAAGAGTCTAGGCTTTCTCTCCCGGGGTGATCAGCACAGTCTGGTCCTGATCAGCACAGCTTGGTGTCCCCTGGAAGAGGCCCGGAGGAACTCCACCTTCTCATCACCAGAATGGAACAGATGAGAGACTCCGCAAGAGAAGAACCCAGAGAGGACGTCAGGCAGGCCAAAGCATCAGAAGAGAAGGTTCGAGGGCTGATGTGTTTCCAGACAAGAGTGAGAGCAAGCGGGCAGCCGCGGGAACAGCACAGTGACCCCTTCTCCTGGATACCCCCAGGACACCCCCTCAGCTTGCAAAAAAATTGCTCTCACCTCCAGAAGCCATATGAGGAAAAACCCACCCTGGAACTGAGTGGATAATGCTTTCCTCTGCATCATTCTTATGTTCTTCCTTTCCCCTAAGAAGCTGGGAGCTCTTTTTAATTAAAGAAATATTTTAAAAAACACATAGGCGCACACCAAGAAAAAATAATAGCAGGAGTCGATGGGCCCCATTCGTCCAGAAATAACAATGGGAACAGACGCTAATAGTTTGGCCATCCTCCCTTCCTCCCTCCCCACTTCAGCTTTTAAAATTAATCATGAAAGTGCCCAGGGCCTGTTTTCCACCAGCTCCCATTTATCTTCCTCATCCAAAGAGGGAGCCGCCCACACTGAGTCTCCTTTCTTAGCGGTATGCACAGCATCTCACTCAACAGCTAACAAAGGACACGCAGGACGCTGTTGTCTTATGTAAATGCGAAATGAGATCCACACACCCTCCTGCAGCCTATTTTCATTCTGCGCTGTCATGCTGAGATGGGTCCATTTTAACACAGGTGACTGTTCCCCGGCTGGCTGGGAATTTCACTTCCTGACTATGGATGGCACCGATGATCTCGCTTAGCCAGGGTGCCCTCCTGATGGACACACACGCGGGCTGTTTCCTCCTTATCTCGCGTGCACACACCACACACACACACACACACACACACACACACACACACACACTGCCCCCGGAGAACAGCCCTGCGCGTTTATGTCTCAGGGAAGCAAAAGGAAGACAGAACTGCTGAGTCATAGGTTCCTGCACATCGGCTGGGCTGCCTTCATTCCCACCAGTAGGAGATGAGCGCGTCCTTCCTTGCACACCCTTCCCGAGACTTGAGACTTGCCAGTATCCAGTGAATGTTGTTTTCAATCTGATCGGGGCTGACAGAGCAGCCCACTTTCTGGTTTTTCTTTGCATTTGCATTATTTCCAGTGGAAAGAACATTTCTCCAAATCCTCCAAATGTTTACAAAGCATTTGGGGGCTCTTCTTGAGATATTTAGCTCATCATAGCTTTAACTTTATTTATTTTGTTTTTTTTTTTTGGCTTTTTTGGGTCACACCCAGCGACGCACAGGAGTTACTCCTAGCTCTGAACTCAGGAGTTACTCCTAGCAGTGCTCAGGGGACCATATGGGATGCTGGGAATCGAACCCAGGTTGGCTGTGTGCAAGGCAAACACCCTACCCGCTGTGCTATCTCTCCATCCCCAGTTTTAACATTTTTACTGGTATTTTTTTTTCTTTCTCTTCTATCACTAAGAAGTAGTGACAGATGCATACTCCATATATATAATATGTAGATATATATATTTAAAATTTTTTTGCCTTAAAAGTTTGATCTGATATTAGTATTCCTTCTCCCTCCCTTCTCATCTTTCTTCTGTTCCCTTTTTAGAACCTGTCTGATATATCCTTTTTAATTGTTGAGTTCCAAACTTCCCACAGAATTATATTTCACACATGTCTCTTATAAACAGCAAAAAAGCTGGACTCAAAAAGTCAAGACTCTGCATTTTAATAGCTCACTTTAGTCTGTTTTCATTTATGAATGCTTACTGATATGTTTGGATTTTTTCAACCTTTTAAAATTTCTCCCCTTCTTTTCCTCAACCCCTCCTCCTTTTATTAGATTGTGGCAACCTTTTCAAGACCCTGCTTTTTGCTCCTCTGCTGGATTGAGAAGGTTTGCATTCCATTTTTGCTCTTTAAATAATTAATGGATGAACTGCATACCTAAAAAAAATCTAAAGCTAATCTAGATTTCCTACTTTCATTTTATATTATTTCTCTAAATTATGCTTGATTATCTCTACGAATACCTAAAAATTATGTCGTTCCCATTTTTGGTGGAGATGTCTTTTACTTGGCAGTATTCAGGGATTACTCCTAGCAGTGCTTGGGGGACCATAACCATGATAGGGACTAATCTAGGATTCAGAATCATACAAGGCAAGTATCATAATCCCTGTATAATTTCTCTAGCCTCATATCTGTAAATGCTTTAAAAAAATTTTTTTAAAGAAGCCAATTTATTTTATTTATTTACTTATTTATCTTCTTTTTGGGGTCATACCCAGCAATGCTCAGGGGTTACTCCTGGCTTTGCACTCAGGAATTACTCCTGGTGGTGCTTGGGGGACAATATGGGATGCCGGGGATGGAACCTGGGTCAGCCGCGTGCAAGGCAAACGCCCTACCTGCTGTGCTATTGCTCCAGCCCCCCCCCGTAAATGCTTTTAGGATGTTTATTTTATTGATCCTCCAGATCCTTGAGGGGGGGCAGCATAGCTGGTGCTGTGGAGAGGAGCTATGATGCTGAGGATTGAACTGAGGGCTCAGACATGCCAGATACCTGCTCTACTCCTTGAGCCATATTGAGTCATTCTGTGCCCCACACAGTTTTCTGTCATGCTAACATTCCCATATAGCACATGATTTCTTTCAACTTTTTTGGTTTTGAGGCCATGCTTAGTGGTGCTCAGGAACACTCCTGGCTCTGTACTTGGAGACCTGAGGGCTGAGGATCGAACCTAGGCCTCCTGCAAAGTTAGGCAAGCGCTCAATTGCTTTGGCAAGTATGATCTACTGAAAAACCCCAGCATCTGGGGAAAGGGATTCTTTGGAAAGTTTTACCCTTGATAAAGTTGGGGATAACTGGGGGTCTAAGCATCTCACTTCTTCTAGGATGCATGTTTTTCTGGTTTCTTGGTTTATATACTTTTGGTGAAACTGGTGTTGTTTATTTTTAAAAATTTTTGGAAATATGACCACACCATATTTGATGGGGTTCAGACAGTAGGCAACAAATCATAGAGGGAAATACATATATATATATATATATCACTTGATCACATATATATATTATATATATGTGTATATATATATATCTCGGAGAGCCCGGCAAACTACTGAGAGTATCCTGCCCACACAGTAGAGCCTGGCAAGCTACCCGTGACATATTTGATATGCCAAAATCAGTAACAATAACGGGTTTCATTCCTCTGACCCTGAAAGAGCCTCCAATACATTGGGAAAGACGAGTAAGGAGAGGCTGTTAAAATCTCAGGGCTGGGATGAATGGAGATGTTACTGACGCCCGCTTGAGTAAATCAATGAACGGGATAATAGTGATACAGTATAGTGATTTTTTAAAAAATGTATTTATTTTTATAGTTGTTTATGATTTATCACATTCAATATTCCCACCACCAGTGCACCTTCCAACCACCATTATTTCCAATTTTCCCAACCACCCCTCAAGTCTGCCCCTATCACAGACCCTGAATAATTTATTTTATATTACTTGT